TCCTGCAGTAGTTTCAGAGATTCAGGTTTAATGTTAAGGTCTTTAATCCATTTTGAGTTGATGTTGGTGCATGGTGATAGGCTGGGGTCCAATTTTAGTTTTCTGCATGTGGCTGCCCAATTTTCCCAGCACCAGCGGTTGAAGAGGCTGTGTTTCTTCCATTGTATGTCTTTGGCTCCTTTGTCGAATATCAGCTGGCTGTAGGCCAACCAGGAGATTCTTATCTCCAATAAACCACTCAGAAAACTGGAAGTGGTACTGTGACTCAATGTGGTAGAGCTCTAGCCTTGAGCTGAATTGGTGAGGGACAGTGCCCAGGCCCAGAGTTCAGGCCTCACGACCAACAAAAAAAAATAAATAAAATGTGACTCAGTCCTTGAAATCTGAGTACCAAAAAAAATAGTCTTTTTCTTCTCTTGATAAAAGTCTTCTATATTCTCATTTCTAGAATCAGTCAGTTGTGTTTCAAGTGCTTTTATTAAAGAGGCTATTTAGTTAGTTGTAGGGTTTGCACTCTGGGCCTGGGCACTGTCCCTGAGCTCTTCAGTTCAAGGCTATACCACTTTGAACCACAGGGCCACTTCTGGTTTTCTAGTGGTTAATTGAAGATAAGAGTCTCATGGACTTTGTTTCCTGGGCTGGATTTGAACCGTGATCCTCAGATCTCAGCTTCCTGAGTAACTAGGATTACAGACATGAGCCACCCAGCTGAATAGGCTATTTTAGATGACTAAATATTGTTGAGTATCATTTAGTTTCTGCTTATGTTGTGGAACATGCTCTTATTTTAGACATTGGTTTACTATATATATATGCAAAATCCCTAGTATAGTTCTGTATACAGTGCTGGTTGTTGGTTCATTTGCATTTAAATGCATTTAAATAATGGCAGGTGCATCTTCCTGGTATTGAGGTGCCACATAAGAAGTCCCTACCTTGAAAAACAGTCTTAAGTTGGGTAAGGCATATAGATACTTGTATTAAATGTTACAGTAGGGGCTGGGAAGATGGCTCAGTGGTAGAGTGCTTGCCTTGCATGCCTGAGGCCCTGGGTTCGATTCCTTAGCACCACATGAGCAAAAAGAAAAAAGCCGGAAGTGGCGCTGTGGCTCAAGTGGTAGAGCGCTAGCCTTGAGCTGAAGAGCTGAGGG